TATGACCGTTTTAAAATTTCATGTCAAAAAAATGATGAAACTCTGGTATTCAGCCATGTCCTCAGAGCCTTTTCTTTAAATGCGACTAATTCTGTTTTGTGGGATACTTTTTGATCTCATTTGTGTGTGTATCTCTACATACATACAAAACAAGTCTCTAATAGCATTACTATTTGGTTAGCTGCAGCTGGGAAATCTTCACATGCTCAAAGCAAATCATCCTATGGCATACCCATGTCAGATGCTTGCAGAATGCTTCAAGTTTTTTGTTTTTGTTTTTTTTAATGTGCAAACTTAAATGCACAGTGTACAATGGTTCACCTTCAGGAAAAAAAATTGCTATGTATCATACACATTTTAATGTTTTTGTATTCATAGACTAAAAGTAAAAAAAACTCTAAGCAATTTTATGGAACCAGATAAAAAACCCACTGGAGCTAAATACAACACTGATATTCTCTTCATGCCAATTCTCTACCCTATGACCCTATGTAACTCCTCCCCATTCACAAACATACCCTCACCCTTTTGATCCTATTAAATATGGAAATGAAAAAGTCATTTTTGTTTTTGTTTTTTTCGGTTTTTTATTGAGACTGGATCTCACTCTGTTGCCCATGCTGGAGTCCAGTGGCGGGATCATAGCTTAGTGTAGCCTCAAACTTCTGTGCTCAAGTGATCTTCCTACCTCAGCCTTCCAAGTAGCTGGGACTAAAGGCACATGCCATGAGGCACAGCTAATTAAAAAAAAAAAAAATTGTAGAGGCTAGGTCTCACTATGTTGCCCATGCTGGTGAAAAAGCCATCTTTAGAAAATACTTCATGTAGAAATGAAAATACATCATCACCAGAAGTCAGTACCAGCCACGTGACTAACAGATTTTAAGTTAGGGCTCAAGAGAACCTGTCTAATACCTTCTTGAACAGGCCCCATACTTTCTCACAACCTCACAACTCTGATCTACTTCCCATCCCTCTCCATTCCCAACATGTAAGCTTGGCCAAAAAAAAAAAAAAAAAAATTAGCCGAGCCTGGTGGCATGTGCCTGTAGTCCTGGCTACTCAGGAGGCTGAGGAAGGAGGACCCCTTGAGCCCAGGAGTTCGAGAGTGTAGTGAACTATGACTGAGCCACTGCACTCCAGCCTGAATGACAGAACAAGAGCTCATTTCTAAAAGAAAATAAAAAATAAAGATAAAAATTAAAAGTGATCATCTGAATTGACAAAGGCAAATGAGGTCTGTTTTCTGAGGGCCAAAGAAATAAAGAAAGTTACTAAATATGTTCTGAGAATACATAAACTAAAATGGGGTCAGTAAATAGGCTAGATAATAAATATTTTAGGTTTTACAGGCCATACTGTCTCCACCCCAATTACTCAACTCTGTCATTATTGCAAACAGCAGTTAGAGACAGTACGAAAATGAATATGTGGTTGTGTTCCAATAAAACTTTACTTACAAACCAGGTGGCTGACTCTGGTAATTGTCAACCCATGTACAAAAACATAGAAACACTGGTACGACAATGTTTCTGTGCACATCTTTGATATAAGGCTGAATACAAAATGTCACTCTAAACGGCTGTTCTTCCACAGTAATTTCTTTTTACCTAGGAAGATAAAATATCATCTCCATTAAAAAAAAAAAAAAGACCCATGTTCACTTTTAAAAATTACATTTTGAAAGGAAAATTGATTTCTATATTCTTAGACCTGAGAAAGGAAACCTTTGGGAAAGAGGAGAGTGGGAAGAGGAGGCCAGAAGGAGGTGTCCAGGAGAACCAAGGTGAACAAACATTAACCCACGATTTGTATTCTCAGAACTATCTGCAAAAGCTGGTAACATGTATACTATATATAGAAACACATTTGTGCCCTCAAGAAACTCGTGACATAGTTGAAGAGCAAACTTATTTTTTGCCTCTGCATTCCAAAATCTTCAATATTAAGGGCATATGGGATTGCAAATACACTTTTTGAAGAAGCTTAAAACTTATGCTTTAAAATAAAGACACTTTTAATGAAGACTTACACTTTTATAAACAGAAAAAGACTGCATAAAATCATATTACACCTAGAATTTATTTTATATTTCTATTCTTTTGTCCTATATCAATTCTATATTACTATCAGTAACTATGGTTCACTACATCGGCATAGCCTCCTGAAAGAATTTATCAGAACTTTCTTGGGAATGGAGTAGGGTAGTACTGAACTGAAAAAAAATCCCAAGGTGATTCTGATTCCTCTGCTCCTTCCTTCTCCACCCTCTAATCCCTACTTCAAAAGTCCCTACTATACATCATGATCTCTCAAAGTACAAAAGAAAGATTTCTCCTCTGAAAAAAAACTGAATCTTGAACCTTAAAATATACCAAACACAGTCAGGCACTGTGGCTTATGCCTGTAATCTCAGCACTTTGGGAGGCCGAGGCGGGCGGATCACCAGGTCAGCAGATTGAGACCATCTTGGCCAACATGGTGAAACCCCATCTCTACTAAAATACAAAAAAAATTAGCAAGGCATGGTTGCATGCACATAGTCCCAGCTACTCAGGAGGCTGAGGCAAGGGAATCGCTTGAATAAGGGCAGTGGAGGTTGCAGTGAGCAGAGATCGTGCCGCTGCACTCCAGTCTGGGTGACAGAGCAATACTCCATCTCAAAAAAAAAAAAAAAAAAAAAAAAAAAAAAAAAAAAAAAAAAAAAAATATATATATATATATATATATATATATATAGAGAGAGAGAGAGAGAGAGAGATATAGATAGATAGAGAGAACATAATAAATCTGTGTGCCATCCTTCAAGTAGGCTCTATCTCCAAAAAGTTTGTATAGTACGGAACAAAAAATTCCCAGGTCTGCAAGCAAGAATTAAGACCAAAACCACTGTCAGGCACAGTGGTTCATGTCTGTAATCCCAGAATTTTGGGAGGCCAAGGCAGGCAGATTGCTTGTGACCAGCCTGGGCAACATGGTGAAACCAAATCTCCAAAAAAAAAAAAAAAAAAAAAAAATACAAAAATTAGCCAGACATGTTGGTGCATGCCTGTGGTCCCAGCTATCCAGGAGTCTGAGGTAGGAGGATCACAAACCCAGGGAAATGGAGGCTGCAATGAGCCTTGATCATGCCATTGTACTCTGGCTTGGGTGAGAGTGACACTTTGTCTCCAAAAAAAAGGAAACTATACTTTTATACCCCAGTCCATCACAAATTATATAAGTTAGGTTACTTAAATTAGGATAATTCCTAAGCAAAAGTTGTAAGTGTTTTAGGCAGGGAAATAAATAGTGCCTAAATTTATTATAATTTTAGGCTGCTCCGAAACATTTTTACAAATCTGACTGAATTTATACCTACTTAGTTTCTTAAGCAACATAACTACCCAGAAGAATTCTCTTCTAGACTTTCTTGGGAGAAAATACTATTAAATCTACTACTTAAAAGTAGAAAAATAAATCAAAAATTCATTCACTAGGGCCAAGGAAATCAAAGACCAAAATATCAGATCCTAAAAAAAAAAAATGCATATTGTAATTGTTAAGCATTACAGGCAAGAAGATTTTTAGCTTTAACATCACAAATAAGAGACTCCTCAAAGTCAATAGTTAGGTGAGATCTTTATTTTTTAGCTTATTTTCTTTTTTTAGCTTATTTATAGTGTGAATGTAATTAAAAAATTTTTAAAGGTTTAAGAACTGAAAGACATTTTTCACATATGCAAATAAAAGTACTTCCAACTAGGTACTATATATATAGAATTTTCTCATTAGGAAAAAATAAGAGGGATTCCATTAGCTTAAGCTACAATAGGTAGTATATAAATTAATGAGTGAAGCAATATTTCAAAAAGACTTTATAAAAACACAGGTGGCCTTCAAGCAAGTTTGCCATACCCCTGCTGTAAACAGCCCAGTTTTTAAACCAATATTAGATTCTGTAAGATTATAGACGGATTAAAAAATTATCTACTATAATTATTCCACTCTATCAAGTCTTTTCTACCTGCAGCGAAATATGCCAAAAGCAGCAGGGGTCCAAAGTGCTGAAAGGACAGGGAAGAAGCCAATGTGTTAACAAAATTCTTAGACAATCACTTTGTTTGGATCATCCATTCAACAAGTATTTGCTCAGGACACACAAACTCCTGGCTTATGGATCTAGTATGAAAGACAACACACGGACAAACATGACTAATTAGGCTGGCTAAGTGCCATATGATGGTACAAAAAAACCCTAACATTTGCAAAATGCTTCAAAGTTTAACATATTTCCACATAAATTAATAAACCTTCAAAACAACCCTGTGAAGTATATAAAGTACTTGGTATTATTATCATTTTACACAAAGCTCATAAGCAGCAGAGCTAGGATTTGAACTTCCAATACTATACTACTCCATACCTCCAACACAGTGCAGCTTTCTGCTAGAGGCCTATGACAGACATACAGGCATTGAATTGAGCCTCCAAGAATGAGCGAGATTTTCACAGAACAGACCCTGGCATTCTGAGAAAAAGCACATGCAGAAGTCCAGAAGCAAGGGAATACAATGTGTGTAAAGATAATGCCAGGCTGGTTCACATAAGGCAGGTGGAAAATAAGGTTATAAAGATGGGTTGAAAGCAAGAAGAGAGCTTTAAGATCTGGCTAAGCATTGATGACCCTATGGACAATGAGAAATCAAATGATTTAGGAGAGAGAGGGAAGAAACAAGGTAAATGAGGCTCTTACGGTATACTGGGTACTTTGCAAAAGAGTCATTTCATATCCAGGGATACTGGGTACTGCTACAGGGAGATTAGACTGTTATCTGAGAGGTCCAAAAGAAGGGAAAGGAGTCAAAGCCTGTCTCCATAGTTTCAGCATGACAGGTCAGAGAATTCAAAGCAACTCCTGTCTTGTCTCACATGATGATTGTTACATGTCCCCAACCCTCCTAAGTTAAACCAATGTCCACAATTACCCTAAATTTTCCTACATTTTATCTAAAACTTACCGAATCTTCTGGAGGTCTCTGAATTTTTCCCCAATCCACAGAAGGCCCCTTTTCTTGCAAAAACCGATGAAATAGCTTCCGAAATCCATCCAGGTCTTTTTTAGTGTGCTGTGAAAATAGAAGTCATTGTTACAACCTGAAGAATGCTTAATATTTAATAAAAACATAAAGACAGATACAAGTTATACATTTAAAATATCTTTAAATGAAATTCTTATACCATTAGGACAAGGAGGAGAGAAGAGACTTTTTTACACCTTAAAAGCTAATAGAGGCTGGAGACGGTTGGTGCACGCCTGTAATCCCAGCACTTTGGGAGGCTCAGGCCCGCTGATCACTTGAGCTTAGGAGTTTGAGAGCAGCCTGGGAAACATGGCAAAAACTGCTGTCTACAGAAAATTGCAAAAATTAGCCAGGTATGGTGGCATGTGCCTGTAGTCTCACCTACTTGAGGGCCAAGGTGGGAGGATCACTAGAGCCCAGGAAGTCGAGGCTGCAGTGAGCAGAGACTGTGCCACTGCATTCCAGCCTGGGTGATAGAATGAGACCCTATCTCAACAACAACAATAACAAAGCCCCATTTGTTTAATGGGAATTCCAACTGGCAAAAAAAATACACACACACACACATACACACATACACACACAGTTTGTTTGTTTGTTTTTTGGAGACAGAGTCTTGCTCTGTCATCCAGGCTAGAGTGTAATGGTGCAATCTTGGCTCACTGCAACCTCCACCTCCCAGGCTTAAGCCAACCCTCCCTCAGCCTCCCCAGTAGCTGGGACCACAGGCAGACACCACCATGCATGGCGTGAGCTCAAGCAATCTTCCTGCCTCAGCCCCCCAAAGTGCTGGGATTACAGGTATGAGCCACTGTACTTGGCCACCACACTTACTTACCAATATCTTTCTCTACTTCTAAATGAAAATTAATCTTCACTAAAAGAATGAAAAGAAATAAAACACAGCTTGCCTCAAAACACTAACTTCTCTCAATTCCAACTGAACACAGTTATCCATTTCTCTACCCAATGATATCAAAACACAGAACAAATAAAAGTATAGTATAATTTGTTTCTGATTCTTTTAATAACTTCGAAGACTTCGTAGGCTTAAATGAAAAAAAGATGATGATTTACAAAGGACAAACATTAAAAGCCTTTAATTGTTAAGCAATTCTAATTATTTGTTTTTGATGTTATCTTACATCTTGTGTTTATTTGAGGCTGGATGATGATCATTATCATTGGCGGCAACTCAGCATGAAGACAGATGAAGCAAAAAAAAAACCACTGTAGAGACCTTACCTCAAACTCGTGTGATGATGCTGTGGTGAGTATTTTTTCTAGTTCCTTCTTCACAGATAATTCTAGCTCTTGCCGAATGACTTCTTGGAACTGAGAAGCGCCATCTTGAGACATTGCTTTGCTAAGATCTTAAAATAAAAATATAAAATCACCAACTGAAAACTCCAGAGCCATTCAAACAGCTGGTAAGCTATAACTGATCTCGTTCTGGTATTCAGCAAATGAAAAGGGCTCAATCCCATGGTCCCCTTGTCCTCTGGCAGGAATTCAGCACTGTCAACTAGTTAGGACTAGTTTCATTCCAGTTTCATATTCTCCACTAAACAAGAATCCCTTTAGAGGTACTGGCAATTCCAAGGTGCCTCTACTTTCCTGCATCAACGTTTTCACTTTAAAAGCACCAGGGCATTGAGCTGCCTGTCCCCTCTTCTGGTGGTTCCCAATTTCAGCCAAGACTCTGCACTGTTAACACGTGTCAGGCTAGATTTTTAGTGCTTTTGGCATAGCTGGGCACCTCTGTGACAGATAGATCTGACTAAAGGTGACAGAAATGCCTCTTAGATGAATACAAACAAAAATAGAAAATGACAGAAGAAGGTTAGGCATCATGGCTCATGCCTGTAATCCCAGCACTGCAGGAAGCCGAGTGGGGTGGACTCTGGAGCCCAGGAGTTTGAGACCAACTTAGACAACACGGCAAAACCTCATCTCTACAAAAAAATACAAAAATTAGCCAGGTGTGGTGGTGCTTATGTGTATTCCCAGCTACTTGGAAGGCTGAAGCAGAAGGATCCCTTGAACTGAGGAAGGAGAGGCTATAGTGAGCTGAGGTCGCGCCACTGCACTCCTATCTGGGTGACAGAACCAGATCCTATCTCAAAAGAAAAGGAAAAAAAAAATTACAGAAAAAGAAACACCCCAAGCCCAAACGCCTTGGAGGAAAAATACCAACACAGGCTGTTTTACACTTTATCTAGAAAGTAATCATCTTATTTACTTCTCATAAAACAGGGACAAGTGGATTATTGTCCACCCCTCCCTTCTATCCTCAGTACTAGATTCAACCTTATTTTTAAAATCTATTTTTAAAGTTTATATTCAAATATTTTGATAACTAGTTATTCTTACAAATGCCTGTTAATTTAGCAGACTCACATTTCAATAAGCCTAAAAATTATTTCCCCTTAACCACTCCACACACTATAAATTCTTTCACTTATTATTTGGACAGAAGAAGAAGACATTTATACAGACAGAATTAAAGCCAACATAATCATTATTTTAAAGATACTTTTGAGAACAGGAAATAGTAAACTACATAACTCTTGGGGTAACTTATTTAACATAGATAGCCTCTACCTCCTGCAAATAACTAAAAATGTTAACAAATGGGATATTTAACATAGCTCTTCAAAATCTTTTCATATATACGTTCCATCACATCTAAATCCAAGTGAAAAAAATCCAAGGAAATTTGCTGAAATTTAACTCTAAAATAGCCCTTTTCCAACCAAGCTCTTTTTACAGTTATAAACCCTAACATAACTAACTTAGTATTCTCCAGTAATACTATCAAAGTGGGCAGGGCTTGGGTGGTCCACATCTGCAATCTCAGCACTTTGGGAGGCTGAGGAGGGAAGTTCACTTGAGGCCAGGTGTTCAAAACCAGCCTGGGCAATACAGCAAGACCCAGTCTTGACAAAAAATACAAAAATTAGCAGATCGTAGTGGCACACATCTGTACTCCTAGCAACTAGGGAGGCTGAGGTGACAGGATAGTTTGAGCCCAGGAATTCTAGGCTGCAGTGATCTATGATCACACCACTGTATTCTATCTAGCCTGGGAACCAAAGCAACCCTCTGTGAGTCAAGAAGCACCATATACCATGTGTGTTCCATAAACAACCTAAAGACAAGTTTTGGCTAGTAACAATTTGATTATAATTTGTAAAAACCCATGACAATGGATGAGCACATCTGCATAAACTATTACAGGTAATTAAAAGTTACTGCAGAACAGTTCAAACTAGAGTTAACATGACATAATCCATACATGTGTACATCCCTTGACAGATTTAGATGTATTTTAAAATTTGTCCCCGGTTAAGTATCCTACCCTGACACTTCATGTGTACCTAGGATGCCTCTTTCTCCAGTCTTTAAGCCAATTCTCATTCAATCTTTGGAAAATAATTTGAAAGAAAAATATATTAAATATAGAGGAAGAAAAAACTCTATATTAAAGAACATATGAATTGTTTGTTTTTTTTATTTTTGAGACAAGGTCTCACTCTGTTGCCCAGGTTGGAGTGCAGTGGCTTGACCACAACTCACTGCAACCTCCCCATCTCAGGCTCAAGCCCACATTAGCCTCCCAAGGAGTTGGGTCTACAGATGGGGCTAATTTTTTTTTTTTTTTTGCAAAGACGGGTTTCCCCATATGTTGTCCTAAACAACCCGCCCACCTCAGCTTCCCAAAGTGCTGGGATTACAGGCATGAGCCACCATGCCCTAAATTGTCTCATTCTGATCAATTAAAATAAATCAAGAAGTAACTATACAATAATTTTTAAAATAAGTTCTTTTGTTACACTCAAAGACATCTACAGATTTGCTACTTTGTTGCTGAAGTTAGATTCTGAAACCCAGTATTCACAATCATATTCCTAAAAAAACATGATGGAAACATTTAAGTTCGGCACTGGAAAAAATGCCAAAATGAGATAAAACTAAATGTAACTATAAAATTTAGAAGTAACTAAAGTAGCTGCTTGAGATTTGTCTAAATGAGAACCATCTGAAAACAAAACATTTTAGAGTTATTCCCTCTACAGAATAACTTATAAATTTACATGATTTAAGGTCAAAACACACAGAACCCAAGTCACTATCCCTATCAAGCCAAGCAAAGAAAGGCTGGCTGAAAAGACTCACATTTAATACTGTATGTGCCCTGTGTCAACTGTAGCAGGTGTAAGTTTCATAGGCAGATTCAAAAAAATCCCAGACACACATTCAAACTTGAGTTGAGAAATGTCTCTAACCTTTTTATTTCTTCCTTTTGTTTGATACAGCACCAATGCACATGAAAAGTAATTTGTATTCTTCTACCCTCTTTACAAATATCATCATCTTAAACAAAAGAACATCACGACAAGCCTGTCACCTCTTCTACCCCCTCTAAAAGCTCTGTTTTTAGTGATTAAAGAATCAGGAAGGGCTTTTAAGGAATAAAAAATATTCAAGAATAAAGAATAAGGAAGAGCGCTTAGACAATAAGAGTAGCTATCTTAAGCATCTGGGCACAAACCAGGAGGCACAGAGCAGGAAACCATTTCCCTTAGTAGTGACTTCCTCATCCATCCTGAATTTTTAAAGGAAGAGTTGAAATTTCTGGTACAAAAAGTACTACAGACGCCAGAAGCTTCCTTGGATTTAACGTTCTCAGGTTACACTTCTGACAATGACAGCTGTATTTCTAAAGGAAGGTCAACTAAATCCTCTGAATAATGCAAGATTTCTAAACTCATAAAATGTTTTGTCCTTATTTCCAAGCAATATAAAATTGATCCGCCATGACTTTAAACACAGAGTGAGTTTGGAGTCAAGCATTTCATTACCTTAGTCATAAACATTTTTATAGATGGGAGGGGGCATTTAATCTACTCTCATCACTTTACAGACGAGGAAACAGGTTGAAAATAGTTAAATGACTTATGCAAGGTCACAGAGCAGGCCAATGTTGGAGCCCAGAAGCAAAGCCGTTTTTTTTAGTCCCGTTCCACCATGGTGAGGCAGAAATACCCTGTTAATGTTTTTTTCTTCCTGGCCTGACTCTCTTTAACCTTGACGTAAAATCCCTAAATCCCACACTCTCCTCCAAACGCATTTCTATCAGAACCTCTTCTTTTGTTCAATCAACAGACAGGGTAACTCCTCACCACATAAAACTAGATTTACTAGAATTGTCTTGGTTGACTTCATCACACTTTAAGTCAATTTTGGATAGAATAGGCAATAATTTTTTTTCACGAGTTCTTCCTTTCCCCCAATTTCCTAATTCTTCCTGTTCATAAGAACTAAATTTCAACATCATAGGCTTTTATATCCAGCTGGGGCCAAAAAAGAGAGAGGGAAACAGTCAATCTGACATGTGAATGTTTTTGTTTCCTAATTCATGGATCTCATGTCATATATTTTAGCAGTAAGAGGTATACATAATAGTCTTCCCTAACACCCTGATACTGGCACAAACAAAATAAGTATACAAGCTAGTTTCAAAATGCATAGGCCATAGAAAAACCACAGGGAAAGCACCAAGAGCAACAAAGAAGTTGAAAAGCCATCCCCAGGCCACTTCTGTCTGATCAGTCCCAACCTTCCTGGAAAACTCACAATGAGAGATACTCAAAGTCAAAGAACTGGAGAGCCCCTTTAATCTTATATCAGCAAATGACTTATGAGCCAAGTAACCATAAAACAAGAATTTAGTGGCAACCAGAAATATAAATTATGTCAGCCAGATTTATAACCCATTCAAGCTAACCAGGTTCTTCTGGGCACACTGCAATCCTTTAAACTCAATTATTTGTGAATATTCCTCCTGGAAAAGCTCTTTTTGGGTTCCAATACTCAATTTTATCTTATATCTTTTCTTACCTCTGTGACTACACCTTGCTTTCCCTAACTGGCTCCTTCCTTTCCTCTCCTACTCCCTAAGATTCCTAAAATTCTGTCCCCAGACCATTTTTTCTCCTCAATTCTCTTGCCAGTCTCCTTACTGATCATTCAAACATGTGCCTCTCATCCTAAATGTTTATCCTGAACTCCACAATCACATTCTTTACTGCCTTAAAGACTCTGGACACCTGGATACTCAGCTGGGTACCTCAAACTTAACATGTCCAAAACAAGACTCATCATCCAAACTAAATTACTGCTCTTGCCCTCCCTGTTCCCCATGGCATTAACATTTTTGTAGAAACTAAGGTTTAAACCTCACAGTCCTAGTTGGCGCTTCCCACCTTTCCCCTCACATTGGACAAGCCAATTATCAAAACTTCTTAAATGACTGCCATAATTTCATTCACTGTTTTTCACTTCCATTACTGCTACCTTAGTTCCCCTA